TTATAGAATATTAAAATTCTAGATTTTTTAATCAGATTTTTAGATTATTAGATTTTTGTTCGCTCATAGTAGCACCCATACAGTTGGTATCAGAGCCAGAGAGATCATGAGAAAATNGGTGGGATTGATCTTTTAGTACCATGTTATTTAGATGAAAGTATGGATATTGAACCTCATATATTATTAGGAATGAGTTTTTTGAATGGATTAGAAGATTATAGTATAAGAAGAGAATGATTATATATAACTCATAAAGGACAGACTACATTATGTAAAATAGGAAGTGGATGAATAATCAAATTAGTTTTTCATTGGCAGTATATATACAAGTTACTATAATAGAAACAAGCATAACAACTTGTGCCTTAATTGATACAGGAAGTGATATAACAATTTTTAAAAATTTCTTAGTAAAATCATGGAATAAAAATAATAAAATAAAGATAACAGGAGTGACTGGAGAAAGTACTCAAATAATTGATAGTGCTGAAAAAGTTAATATAATATTTGGTAGTAAACAAGTTATAATAAATAAAGTATATAATTACAATAAGTTAGAATGTGATATACTATTAGGAAATGATTTTATCCAACAATTTCAATATTATAAACAAAATAATTACATGATAATGTTACAAATACCTTGTGCACATCTATTAAAAATATCAAGAGAATTTAGACCCTACAGAGTTCAGCCAGCCCAGCGTGGTGATAAATGGGAAAAACGACCAATAGTACAAGATGAATTAAAAAATAAAAAATTATCATATAAAAAAGATCTTAAAAACAGAAATAGAGATAAGTATGGGAAAAATCATAGAACAATTAGAAAAAATTTATGGAGAAAACCCATTATTATTTTGGAAACCATATCATCCTAAAGCTAAAATAGAATTAACAGAAAATGTTATAATAAGAGTTAGACCAATGATGTATACCTTACAGGATATGCAAGAATTTAAAATTCAAATAAAAGAATTATTAGAACAAAAGTTAATTAGACATAGTAATGGACCTCATAGTAGTCCAGCTTTTATGGTTATGAAACATTCTGAGCAGATTAGAGGAAAAGCTAGAATGGTAATAAACTATAAAGAATTAAATAAATATACTAAATTTGATGGTTACTTTTTACCAAATAAAGAAGTCCTAATAAACCTTGTAAAAGGAAAATAATATTATTCCAAACTTGATTGTAAATCAGGATTCTGGCAAATAAAAATGGAAGAAGGTAGTATACAATATACAGCTTTTAGTACACCTCAAGGAAAATATGAATGGTTAGTTATGTCATTTGGTTTAAAAAATGCACCACAAATATATCAAAGAAAAATGGATAATATATTCAAAAAGTATAGTAATTTTCTTATTGTTTATATTGATGATATACTAATATGCTCTAATAATAAAAAAGAACATAGGAGTCATTTACTACAATTTATAAATGAATGCAAAAAGGAAGGAATTGTACTTTCTAAAAAGAAATCTATAATAGAGAAACAAGAAATAGATTTTTTAGGATTATCAATAGATAGAAAATGAATAAAATTACAGACTCATATATCTAAAAAGATAGAAAGCTTTCCAGATGAATTAAAATCCAAAGAACAAATACAAAAATTTTTAGGATGTTTAAATTATGCTGAAGGATTTATTGAAAATCTCTCAAAAAAGAGACATAAGATCCAAATTCTACTTAGGAAAACAAATACTAAAGGTTGGAATAAAGAACATACTGAAATTGTTAAAGCATTAAAAGAAGAATGTAAAAATTTACCAAAATTAAGATTACCAGATGAAAAAGATAATTTAATTGTTAATACTGATGCCTTGGATAACTATTGGGCAACTATATTAAAAACAGATTTAAATGAAATATGCAGATATTCAAGTGGAACTTTTAACTAAGCAGAAATAAATTATACTACCCATGAAAAAGAATTGTTAGCAATTATTAGAGGAATAAAGAAGTTTTCATTATTTCTTTTATCTAAAAAATTCATTGTTGAAACTAATAATTCTCAAGTTGCAGGTCTTATTAGAAATAAGTTACCTATGGAACCTCAATATAGAAGATTACACAGATGGCAAGCATATTTATCATTTTACAATTTTGATATTATTCATATTAAAGGAATAAATAACTATCTTGCAGATTTTTTGAGCAGGAATATTGAATTCGGAGATGGATAATATCAAAAATACATTAATAGACATCAACAGACAAATGAAACTCCTCATGGAAGAATCTGAAGATATGAAAATTGGAATTGAGCAGTTAGAGGAAATGGCAGAAACTATCCAACAAAATGTCAAATTGTTGGTGGAAATCTCTAATTCTCATTCCAAATATACCAAAGAATTGAATGACAGAATTGTTGATATTACTTCACAATTTAAGTCATTAGATATCAAACAGGAAATGCCAATTGATACAATCTCAAAAATACAAACAGGTACACAGCCAGGAAGCAGCAGTGGACCCAGCAATATCAAACGAGATATAGCAAGTCCCCGGAAGGTGACTATAAAAAATAGTGATGAACATACAAGAGTTATAAGAATCAAAACTGATGAAGATGATGATACCCCTTTATCATCAAAAGAAGAAGAATATAGATCATTTGCCAAGATTGTTTATGAATTGGAAGAAAATGAATCTTATTTCATTGCATTAGGAGATCATGTTTATCCCAGATTAATAATTACCAAAGATGCAGACCCTTTCATGGTCAAAATGGCAGCAAATTATGGATTTCTGGATTTGATCTATCCAGGAAAAGATTTAAAAGAAATTGAAAATTTTGATGATATATTCAGGGCAGAAGTTTCAAAATTTGCCCAAGGGAGATCGATTTATATCAAATTTTATTCAATAAGTCCCGAAATTGATGGAAGGATATACTATCCTGCTGAACATATTATTACAATTGGATATGTTGGCCGAGATTTCCAGATTGAAGTTGGCCGAAATAATAAACCATTGCCTAAAATCAATAAATCATGGATAAATCTCGAAGAGTTTTGGGGATGAAAGTTCTTTACAACATTGCAAAGAACTTAAATGATAAAAAATTCAGATGCTTGTGCCAATATAAAGGATGGACACTCCTTACAAATAATGGAGAAGAAAAATCTATCATTTTGAAAGAATATATCCAGAAATTTGATACTCATCAAATTAATGGAAGTCCAACAACAATTCAAGAATCATGCAGATTGAGGGAGTGCCCCACATGTAGACAAAATTGAGAGATTGATGGATGGAAAATAACCTACCACTACCAAAGCATCTGGCCAGCTGCATATGAAGACAAAGATGGAAAAGCAATAATAGAAAAGCATCTAACCAGCTGCATATGAAGCCAAAGATGATAAGGCAATAATAGAAGAAAAGATGCCACTTTGATGAAAAAGCAAAAAATGCATGTGAAGATGTAGACCCCAGGAAGAAAAGAATAGAGAGGCATGTGAGCCTTTTTTCAAAATTCTGATGTATGCAATGATGTAATAGATCAATAATAGTAAGGTTGAGTCATGTATAAATAGAGGTCTTTGTGGAAAGAATGGATCATCTCGAGCTAGAAACCATTCTCTTTCCTTAAGCTCTTTTCAAAACCAGTTTTTCTGGAAACCCCTTGTATACAATAGAAACCTTGTATAGATTAGAAATAAAATTTCAATCTTTTGATATCAGAAAAATATGAGTTTCTAAACTTCCTATCCCATAAATTCTTGATAGATTGAAGAAGATAATTTCTTTCTTACTTTAACAAAGAAAGAATTTTCTTTACTGAAGATCTTTACTCGTAATTCTAAGAAAAGATACAGTGAGAGCAGAAGCTGAAATAGCAAAATTCCCATTGAGGCAAGAGGCCGTTTGAGGGAGCAATTTGCAGATTCAGAGCCTGAATGTCACTCGATTCTAAGAATACAGATTTAAGATCAAAAGTAAGATAAAATTATTGTCTTTGTTAAATTTAGAAAGAATCCTTCTAATATCTTGAAAGAATCATAGGAATTATTACTTTTCATGTTTGCAAAAAACTTATATAACATATTATTATTCATAAAGTTTGCAAAGAATTATCTGAATAATGCCAGGTTATACAATTAAAGGAATAAATAATCTGTTAGAAAAATTATTGGAAAAAATAAGAAATATTTTTGCTCAACTAGAGATTATGGATATTTCATCTAAGAAATATAATAATCTTAGTAAATTACATGACAATTATATTACAGATTATGCTAATTTATTAGATCAAAGGATGAAATTATATATTAAAACTCGAAATGAGAGAAATAGAACTATCCCAATAAATTAAGGATATCTTGTGCAAAATATGACAAATCCTTTCATTAAGGGTATTATAGACATTTTACCAAAAATGAATAGTAGTAGGCCATTTATAAAAATCTCCCCCCAACTTCCTATGTCTATTCTTCTTCCTACGCCATAAATGTCAGCTTTTAAATGGACCTAATTTAATTTTTGTTTGAAATCTCACACTTCATATTCGGGAAATGCTTTTAAATGGACCTAATTTAATTTTTGTTTGAAATCTCACACTTCATATTCGGGAAATGCTTTTAGAGAAAGTTACATGAACCAACTTCTTTTAAACTCTTCTAACTCTCAAAAGCACTTTCATAAGATTAGTCAAACGGGTCGAAAAGCAATTTTTGACATTTCAAAAATCATGCTACACAGACCAGTCTGTGAATTCTATAACAGAAAGGGCCAGCACCACCCTTTCACCAATGTTCGCCTTCTTCACCTGCTACCATCTCATATACCATAATCACTCAGAATGATCAAGTCTAGCCACCTCTTCCGCGCCAACTGTATTTAACAGCCCAGATTTTAAAGATTCCCAACGTGTTACTATATATTAAAAAAAGTAAAAATTAAATTAAATAGACTTATTCCATTACAATATCTGTTGTTTACTCATTTTCTACTCTTGCTTGGTTGAAAAGTTGTATATCAAAAGCCATGTCGAATGATTTGGATCAATAAATGAATCACTCACTGAAGTGATTTCTTCCATATTATTTTTCAACCAAATAAATCATGGGCTTCAGCTCTAAGGTCCTCATGAGGACATCAGATTTGTAAGAACAAAATGGACCTTCCAAATATGAGCACTGAAATGGCATACATATCTAAGTACATAATCAAAATACAAAGACTGAATACTATAAAACCTAATCAATACAGGGAACTGTTTTTTGCTTCGACAGGTCGACTATAATGTTCATCCATCACCTTAGAGGTCTTCAAATGCTTCTTGTCCTTCGGAGAAACTCCTAACCAGTTCTGGATTAGCTCAAATACTTTATCGTTGTTCAATAGTCCCCGGTGACTGGCACAAACCCCTACTCTTTCAACTGGATCAAGATTATCTGCCTGCATAATGAATTAAAAGATATTTCCGGAAAAAAAAATAGGGCTTATACAACAAATGCTCAAAGATCAATTCGATTGAAGTCAATAAGTTGAAGAAAAATAGAGCATAGGCAACTTTAAGTTACTCTATAAAAACTCCTGCAGGCCTTTTATGTTAACTTCATTGTGTGAAATATTAGAATTCTGCTCAATAAACAACTAAGGGAGACTCGTATAAAGAGATGTCTAAAAATCATGCTGTAGACTACCTGTCAAATCAGATAGAACATCAATTCGAAAAGTGGAGATATTTGTACCTTTGCTGATTCGGCAGGGACAGTTCCATCACCATCGACAAAAGAGTATTTAGGCTGAAACAAAATTAGGACATACACCAAATGAGTACTACCATTTTCATGTTTGGAGGTGCGGAGAACGGATCTTCCAGAGCTTCAGAATAAATACAGCTCATGTTTCTTAATATAACTTATATATGCATAGCCATTAGTCACTGATGCTGTTATGTAATGATGGTTTATGGAGTTGAATTTAATCATATACATCTATTGACAAAGCATAGAGCAAGACGTGTACATAATGTGTGCACAGCTACTACTATTATATGGGGATCAATATAGAAATGGAACGCCTCAATACAAACTACGCCTGCATGTATTCAAATGACATAATTAATTCAAGTTAGCCCTCTATTTGATGGTCATTATTTGGGATAACAACATTCTGAATAGTGATTTTAAGGAGAATATGTTGTTAAGTAGTGAAAATTTTGGATTTACGTGCTACAGAATATTTTATTGTGTGAATGTGTGATTGAAAATGAGTGTGAAAAAAAGAATTTTCAAATAATGGTTGTCAAACAGGGGCTTGCTTACATCGGAGTGGCATATCGCAGATAGCTCATCGATGGGAGAAGATTCTGAACCATAGCTGCAAGAGGGACAAACAGGTACACATTAGTTGTGCTCATGATTCAAATTATTAACGAAGTTCAATGAAAGAGGTGTGTGTATTATGGACAAATGATCTGCTAGTTTGCACACAAATTGAATAAAAATAACACTATTAAAGGATGTTATATCAATGTTGGGTGGCATTTCATTCACTGTGAAAACTGTGTTTACATTTGAAAGTTTAAAAAGCTGCTTAGAAAACTGTAAAAATAAAAATAAAAAATTTCAACACAAATAGGATCTCTTCCATATAATTCTACCAGCGGCTAATCAATGACAAATTAGTTTCTCACATGGATTTCTCAGCTACAAACTGGAAATTTTGGGAAAGAATTTCGCAGAAGGCAGAAGTATTGCATAACTATAGCATATTCTAAGCTAATAAGGCTAAAAGGGACATGATTAATTAGAAACCCACTTGCAATATACGAAAGGTACCAAACTCTTAACATATTTTGTAATATTTGGTTCTTCTGGTCTATACTTCTATGTGATGAGATTAAGACTGCATCACTGCAAGCAAAAAGAAAGGAAATTTACAAGTTTGGGCCTGTTGTTTTCTGGGCATTTATATCCAATTAGCATGTGCATATTGAGCCCCCGTTTGACTCCCATTCTATAAAAACTCACTTTTTCCCAAACTCATTTTCAATCGCACATTCTTTCAATAAAAATAATTTCAAACACACACTCAACTTTTCACTACTTTTCAACTACACATTCTCCAAAGCATCACTGTTACAAAACATGTTCTTTTAAAAAAATGGGGTTCAAGCACACCATGAGATCTGTTTCACACTTCCAAAAAAACAGAAATCTCTTAACCTGGTTTCAGCACAAGTCATGAGGTATTTTCAGGTGGCTTAAACAGAGATCAATTCTTTCCCGTATATTTCAGAAGCATAACCATGCTCATTTTATCGAAACAAAAATGGACCAAGAAACTGCGAAAACAGGAACAATGAGAAAAAGTTCCTTTAAACTTGATCGAATAAGAGGTCCGGGCAAAAAGCAAATATTCAGGGCAGGCTGATTGATGCAAGCTAATTTTTTAATATTTCTCAGTTTATCTGTTTAATCTATTTCTGAATCAATTACATTTAACGGTAGTAGTAACAGGGAATGTACACACTACTATAGTGATATTTTATTCAGTGTGTTTTGTCCAACGTTTATTTGATTTTGGTTGGCTTGATCTCAGATTCTCAGTAGAAGGCATCTCTTAGAATTGGGTTTATTATATGTATATAGTCTTTAGCCAAAGAGTAGGGAGACCATAGTATTTTTATTTCTACATTGTTCTTTATTCTCAATTGTTATGAATGGACATTTCTTGGTGCAATCTCATGGAGCTTTAAATGAGAGATAATTTAGCCACATACCAAACATCAAAAGGCGTGTCAAAAGATGTCCCGTAGATGTTGTAAAATGATACCCCTTTCGGAACTTGAGTTTTATTGAGAATTTGCCGAGTAACAGCAGCCCATTTAAGAATTGCCGAGTTAAAAGGTAGAGGGATTGTTTTTCCATTGTAACTTAGCTGCAAATTAAAAGAAAAACATTACCAAAATAAAGATTGTAAAACTATGACAGAATATGCAGATATATTAATGTCCCAAAAGTACTACCATGCAAAACCAGAATAAGATAATAGTTAGACCATACAATTCAAGGAAACTAAAACGATCAAACAGATAAAACTATTGTATCTGTCATCTTTTAGCTAAAATACTTCGAGGTAGTCTCCTAGAATAACCTATATAGTCAGAAAAGAGACCAGATATTCAATCCCCGTGAAACTCTATAACGAAACGTCCACGCACAGAAGGAAGAAACGAAACTTGAATGGAACTGAACGAGAAACTTCTAAAAATGAAGTAAACAGATGTTCCAGAGCTTCCTTGCTTGACTCAATGGAAAAACTCCTACGAAATAAACGTCTAGACTAAAAGCTTCACGGGATATTCTTGTTTGTAATTAATAACTGATATTAGTACAAGACAAAGCTTTGATCTTAGAGAGAATCTTTTGCATTCCAGATTATTTATTCCCTATTACACACCGACAAGGACGTGTGTCCGACGCGCAATTTTTTTGGAAAAAGCACTAATATAGTATAAACTTAGTTTTATAATTCTTATTAATTTTTCTTGTTGAAGTATTTTAAATATAAGTACCTATTTATTATTAATAATAACTTTGAATTAAAAATATAAAATATGTATAAAGGAACAAAAATAACAATGGTAAGAGTTCGAGCATCGGTATCTGACATGTGTTTGACACACACACAAAAGCCTAGTTGAAGTGTCCATGCAACACAACTTATTCCTTACCATGAGGGTGGGAAAAATCATTAAACAGCCAAATGCTTTACAAAAGAGTTGGAAGAAAAATTCCCAACCTAGCAGTATTGTAGAGTCTGGCATAGAATAGATAGTAAAAATATAAGAAGGTGCAAGCTCACAGACTCATCCAATCATCTTCACGGTCACAACCGACCTATAGTTTCATCTCATCATTTTCCACAAGAAAATACTAATATAAAAATGGGAAGGTGGAAGACAAGGTGCTTCAGTACCAAAATAGAATAAGCTAAAGTCTAATTCAAGCATTTCACTCAGTGTCTCAGATCCATTTACTTGTGGAATATGACCCGATAAAGACAAAACTAATTGTTTCCCAATCCAACACCAGGCTATATCATTCACAAGATAATAACAAGGATTAAAAACATAAAACCAAACCTAGACTATTCAAAAATCACAATTTTTTCTGCTAAATGAAGCTAAAAAGGGATTACCTCGTTATTTTTTAATGCTTCTTCAAAAAGAGAGACACTTTCCTCAGGACCATAAGATTCAAGTTCAACAGACGTTTCTCCATCATCATTGGATTGCTTTCGCCATACCAGAATCTCGGGTTTCTTTTTCCAATTGAAATCAATGTTCGGCAGCATCTCATAAATCGATGGACACTCCACAAGCTAAGCATGATATCAACGAAGTCAAACCGCAAAGCAAGAGAAGAAAGGGATAACTCAACCAAGAGATTGCTAAAACAAGTACAGGGTTAAACAACGTAAGACTGACCATTTCTAGATGGAAGCAAGTAAAGATGATAACTTAGAATGTTTGAACCAAGTTCCTACTGCTTGCATGAACAAACTAATTATTATAGCAACCTGATGAAAATATATATCTAGGAATGCCTATCTATTCACTTTCAGATTTCTCTATTCATTTCTAATTCTAGGAATTGAATCTGTGTTCCAAAATGAACAATCATTTATCTCATTCTCAATAACTCCTCGATGCCAGCATTGTTTATTTTACATTGTTTCTATCAATTTTCTCGCGTAACCACTTTCAGACATGCCTAGACATAAAGTAGATATCATTCTTCTGTGGCTTGGAATGTATCATATATCAGTGTGAATGCTAGAATTCAAAACATAAACTGCCTTTCCTTCATTCATACTGTAAATCTTTGAAGCTTTCTAATGAATCGAAGTTTTTGAACGACAGCATAAGCCTATATGCTTTCAATTTAAGGGTAATACACGCGCGCGCGCGCGCGTGTATGTGTACACGTGTGTACATATGTATATATATATGTTGGATCTATACTCTAAACCTAGAGGTAAGGCCCAATGATTTATCCACAGGTGGGGGATGGTGCAAAATTCTCCATTTATGTTTCATCCATTTATGTTTCATTGGAGCCAGAGGCGGAGACAGTGGGGGCTTTGCTGGGCTGTAGCCCAGCAATGCCCCCAGCCCATGTAATTTTCTAAGAAAAGATTTTTAAAATGTGGCCCAAGTCCATTCCTCACAAATTACAAATACCACCCACTATGACAGAAGATGATCAACAAAATAATTATGTCAAGATACAAAATATTATATACCATCTAACGTGACTAAACTAGTGTTCATACAGTGTCATATCATCAAAAACCGGGTTCCAAATTCTTGGTGAAATAAAAAAGAATAAAAATTTAACCCAACCCAAAAATTAATTTTAGCCTAATTAACTTCATTCCCAACCAAGACCAATGTTCAATTATTCAAATTTAAAGAGTTCACTTATAATCAAATTAGTTTATTATATAACAAATAATTCTTATTTATTAAAGTAGAGATAAATAATTTATTGTAACATGTCAAATGTTTGACTAAGCTTAAAAGTAATTAATTTTTTCCTAACGTATTTCTCATATATTACTTATTTATACTTGTGAGTTAAAAATTTATTTATTTCGACCACGAATGGATGTTATTATAAAAATAAGTAATTTACTCTATATTTACATTTATTAGTTAAAAATATATGTGTTAGAACTTTGTCGTGAGGATCCAAAAATATATTTTGACCCACTTGTCATTAGCATCAAGAGTTTAACCTTATAAACTAAATCTCGAGTGGCAAAGAGTATCTATGAGAAAAATTCAATTTTCAGCCCGTCCTAATATATCTTCCTGGCTCCACCCCTGATTGGAGCCTAAGAACTCCTGCTAAAACATAAATGGATTTTTATTTTAAAAGAAGAATCAAAGTAACTGGAATAATAGAATCCAAATAACCAATATATCAATTTGCACAAGAACAGTGACATCGCCTGCTTCGTGTTTAGACCCGACCATAATGCATACAAACGTCAACCCCAAAAACTGCAAAAATCTTTATCATCTGATATTTGACAAACCAAATACGGAAAACACGCTTGACTTTTGTACTGCAAGATAGTATTTGGGTCATTGTGTGAAGAACTATGATGAAGGTGTGCATGCTTATTATACCAAACAATAAAATAAAATAAAAAAGATTCAAATTAAAGACAACAAAGAAAAACAAGATGAAGGGTAGTATAATTTTCCACACATCCAGAAAGATTATTTCAAGAGAATATTACCAGTTGATGCATTGACCACCTTGACACAAAAAAATAGCTTTTAAAGCCTTCAACAAACTGCACTCCAGTTAGTAGAGTGTCATTGATACATCCTGGTGCCCCTGTTAAAAAGTTATTAGGTTCAGTATGTAAGCTCACTTAGAGAGAACAAAAATGAACAAAACATAAATGGTTCAGTTGTGCAACAGAATATTACAGGAAAGAACTCAATTGCTAAATGGCAAGGCTACTTATTGTAAAGGTTGGTTCTAAATGATCGCAACATTTCTGAGAGGGAGAGAGATGGCAGCCCATCAATATGGTACCTCCAGCAATAGTAAGCCTCTATTGAGCATAAATCTTGAGGAACAGCTGGTAAATAATTAATGTTAACATAATCAACTGGTATTTCATGTCTAAGGGGTCGGAAGAAACCACCTTCATCTACTTCAAAGTGGATAAAAAAAATACAGTGAACAACTTTTTCTCACATACTAAAATATCCTAATGAGCATAAAATATGGATTACCGTCCCACATGGTAAGAGATCTCCATGAAGGTTACCATACCAGAGGGACCAGGTCACTATGATGTGAGGGAAGAAAGGAATGGAAGTATTGAGAGCTCAATTCAAGACAATACTGCACTCAATGTTTAATAAGGAGCAATACTGAGGCATTCTACCTTTATGAAGCAAGGTGTAAGTAAGATTCAAGACAAACTAATAAAATAATTCAAAAGAGTATAAACATAAAAAAACATGCTCATAGTAAACCATCAATCATCTTCAGAATAAATAATTATATTAAAAGTCTAACTCCAAAAACTCATAATATGTTTAGGCCCAAAAATATAGTAGAAAATTTGAATCCACTTGCAGTAATAAAAAGCTTAGAAAAAGCAGACATACTAGCACACGCCTCATCTGCCTTGAGGCTTAAGCCTCGGTTAGTCAGTGCTTAAGCCTCAACACGTGGCACTTGAGGCATAAGCTTTGAGGTGCTTAATGAAAGCCTCACATGAGACACACATCAAGGAGTAAGCCTCAAACAGCTTTTTAAAACATCGAATGCACTAGATTGTTTTTGTCATCTCTAGGAATTCCGGAATATCCTAGGCCATTGAGCATTTGAAGAAAAAATTTATGTGAACAAGATGTGCAACCCTTTAGCACCTTAATTAATATTGTAATACTCATTGTGTAGAAAAATCAGTTCAATGTGTGAATAATGCAAATGTTTAGTTTTCATATCATTTTATCTAACTTTATATATTTTGCAGGCAGGGGTGGAAGGAAATGGAAAACAAAAATAAATAAATAAATAAATTTTAAAAAAGAGAGAGAGAGAGAGAGAGTTCAGAAACATCATTATTGGTTTTTCCAACTAAAATGGTTATGATTAGCAGAGTGCAAAAGCAGCTAGCTACACAATATTTTTAAACCATGTATCATACTTCAAATTCAATGTGTCTAGCACGATACTAAACTAGATACAGGAACACTTACCTTGAAAGGGAGTCGCAATGGTAATCCACTTGTTTACATATTGGGAGAATACCTGCACAGTGAAGATTATATCAAGATTTTTCCAGTTAAGGTATGAAATCATTAATGGAGTCAAATTGTTTGAATAAATATTATGACAGCACAAGAAAATCAACATTTGCAAGCAAACAAAATTCTAAATCAAATATGTATGACTAGACATAATCTCTTGTTCAAGCCTTGAAATTGGAACATTTTATGCTCAAATTCTTTTAGGGATTACGTTGTTATCATATATGATTTAGGAAAAAATCAAGATTCCTATATGCACAAAATCAACCTTGTTACTTATTGTATTAATAAAATGCCCTGATCACATGATCTTACTCATAAACTAGTAAACAACGAATATTCAGTAAAAATTAAATATAAAAGAAGCTAGAATGCCAGTCAAGACGAGAACAACCAGACCCTTAATACTTAGCTTGTTAGCATGATTTTAGAAAACCCTGGTCACAAACTCAGAAACCTGAATTCAAATGATATTTAAATTTCTGTTTAGCCTACATTGACTTTATAAAAGGGGGGAAAAATTAATCTTTGAACAACAGCATTAAAATTTTATTCGGACAAAAAATCAGGTGTGTCAATCATAGGAATGTGCCAAAATACAACAGCACCATCCCTAATAATAAACAACTACTATGTGAACCAGGATGATTAATTCTCAAGGACTACATTTTTCTGTTTAATTGATGGCAAGACTCGAACTGGATATGAAACAAAGTTCATAATTAGAGAAGTCACTAATGAACTTAGACTTACATCACTATGACGAGAGATAAAACATAAAATCAGCAATCCACCCATCGAATGTGAAATTAGGTTAACTTTCCTTCCCCCAGAAGCTTTATAAGCANTATATTATTTTATTTCTGGTCAAGCTTAAAAGATTCAATCATTAAGCAAACAAATATATGGGTGGTCGGACTTGTCTCAGACAATATAGTTGATAGTTCTAGATGATAATTTGTCCCACGCTGCATGGTATATAATTTCAGAAAAACTATTCTCTTTTGGTTTCCAGATAGGCAGTAAAATGTGAAGCAATGGTACAAATTATGCTACTGCCTACTGTTCTACATGGAGATCTAGTTCAGCTTATGCTTATCACAGAAATATCAACCCAAGAAAAAGTCAAATATAAATTAAGTCCTATTCACAATTAATTTTAAGGTCACCAATATGAAGCCTTTTTCACCATTTTGTTCAATCTCAACAATACAATTTAGATGCTACCATTTCAATCCAAGCAATATCTGTATACGTAAAAGGGATAAACCCTCAAAAACAGATGCAAAGGAAGCACAGCCCAATCAGAATGACTAGTCATGTTTTTCAATTACATGGAAGTTGGGAACTAACAATTGCACTTTATTATCTGAGGTTGTAAAAAATTATTCTCTACAAAATAGAGGAAGTAGATATCATGCATCGTTTATGATGGAGCCAAGCCCCCCCCCCCCCCCCCCCCCCCCCCCCCCGCCCCGGTTTTTTTTTTTTTTTTTTTTTTTTTTTTTTTTTTTTTTTTTTTTT